AAGTCTTCAAAATCGTCGTCTGAAATCATCTCTTTCATTGGACTCTAATCTAACATTGGCTACAATCTCTGTGGACGATAACTCGGTACTTGTACCACTTATTACTTGGAAAGGCGACGTTGGGCCGGATTGTATACTTGCTTTATGGCCCAATTTCAGTAGTCTAGAGGTGTGAAATATAACCGACCACTAACCACAGTTCTCTCGCACACATACAACCTTGTATCTCGTTTTTGAAGATTTGTTTACTTTAAACTCGAAACCCACTTCAAGAAACTTCATTCTGAGGTCTATGATCATTTCTTCTTTCGTATTAAATAACTGAACCAAAACTATTTTCCAACTATGATTATAAGATATGTGTTAGTTGGGCATGATAGAGGGATCTAGAGTTGGAAGGGGATGAGACATATCAAAAGTATCATTTATCCCCACCAAATGATTTATCAAAAGGAGTTCTTGCTTCTTTTTCTACATTTTATTCGTCTTCATCTTCATCCTTTTCTGATAAATCGATATCAGACTTACCCAATGCGAACATGGGCCTCATCATCATCAACTCCAGCAAAAAGTCATTCTTGTTCTTCTACTTGTTGTGTCTCCGAAACAAACTTAGGTTAATAGTGATTAAGACCATATGTATGTTGTGAGAAAAAGTCGGGGTCATAGAAGCACTCTATTGGGTCACCTATTGATTTGGTGATGACCCATTGATCTGTTCCTCTACCCTAGAAGCACTTAGTAGTTATTGGTTTCGTTGTATATTGGTATCTTGGTACATACTTAAGTCATTGGCAAAATCGAAGACTAGCCAATGCGAAGACAGAAGGTCACTAATGCGATACTGTGTATCAACTGTCTAATTTACACACCACGACTCCAGAGTAGCTGATATGAAGATTGAAAATATTTTGAAGCTACAAGCCGATTGTGAGGAAGATCTTCATGCACCGAAGATTTGAAGAAAGATCTTCATAGACAGAAGATTGAAGATTTTCAAGGACTGAAGATTGAAGATCTTCATGTACCGAAGATTGAAGGAAGATCTTCATGCACCAAAGATTTGTGAATAGCTGTTTGAAGCTATTAATCCATCCAAAGAAAATCTCTCTACAGACTGACCATATCTCTACAAAAGTTTGCCTCTGCATGAATAGTGTTGTATGCACGTTGTGTACGATGAAAATGAGATATCAGTAATGGTCAAGTCAACCCATGCCTTCTTATCCTCAGGTGAAAGTGTCATCATGCATTTAATGTTGAGGTAGTATAAAAGGCAGTGTGCATCTTCCATGCATACTATTGACTTCCTTTGAAAGATTTCCATGTGCATTCTTAAGGCAATCGGCTCTCCTCTTCTTCTCCCTTACTCTCCTGTGTGAAAAGAAAACTTAGTGTGTTCTTCATTTTCTTTGAAGTACTCTTTGTGTTGTTCATATAAGTTTTCTCTTTGTAAGATTGTTTAGGTTAGGTTATCATTTCCTATCTTCCAGAACAATCTTTTGTATCTCTATGTGTTAACTCTTAATATACATCAATAAGAATTAAAAAGTTAAAAAAGTTTGTGTAATTATATTCAACCTCCCTTCTATAATTACTTTATGTTTATTGTCATCCCATTTGGGACCAACACACTCATATTGAAACCCAGACTTGGGTTAAGAAACATACATTTCTTGAGTCTGATATTGATCTTGGATTTGATCGTTTTCAGTGTTGGAACTACCACTAACATCGCCTCCATCGCACATCAAAATATTGACATACACATGAAGTGTATGCCATTTATTTGACTCGGCAGCAAATTCCATGAAACCACAAACATCGTCATTGTCAGCTAACTCATAAATTGAACCATCATACTTGTACGCTAACCTGGTTAAACCAACCTCCTTGTTGATAACAAATTTTATCTGAACGTAACCGACAAAGCTTTGATGTGTAATGTTTATGTGCAATTGTACAACATGGTGGATCATTTGACTAGAAGAAACATAATCTCACTCATCGCTTACTTTCACCCATTGACCACTGGCACAAATATTTAACTTAATCTTTTCAGGACCGAAACTCATTTTCAAATAAATATGAAAAAAAGAAATATATATGATGAACAAAGGAATAAATTAAGTTGATATTTTTTTCCTGTATATCATATCGTTCCTTCATGGCTACTTTATAGATTAGATGAATTAAATTCATCCAACCAATCATCAATCAAATACTGAACAATTTTTCATCAATTTTCAAGCATTGTTTAAAAAATAGTGCACGTTCGCAATTTTCATCAATTAAAAATGTGAGAATTGAGATTTCTTTTCAAATATTTCGAGGGTCAAATGGTCAAAATTGTGGACATGGGTTAAGGTCTGAAAAGTACGAATTAGGGTTTTTTTTTTTGGCCGACACGTGTCAGGTCCGCAAAAACCTATGTCTAAATAGCAGACCTGGGTAAAAGTTGTCAATATTTTAAAAGCCAGGGGCTGCAGACCTCAATATTGAGGATGTGGTTCCATATTGAAAAAGAAATTCATCAGTTTTTTGCGGATCCAGTGTTATTCTAGCTAAGAGAGAAATGACTAAGAGATAAAACCAACATCTGAAAAATAACGATTTTAATTAATTTCTCTATAAATATTATGAAAATAATTTGAAAAAGAATAAACCAGATTGTATAATGATGACATTGCATCTCTCACATGATCGTTACCATTTACTATAAGGAAATTGATATAAAAAAATAGTCAATCCACCATAGTCCTTTCACTTTTTAGTCATGTCAGTAACCAACTTCGTCAAATAGTCATAGTTTATGCATTACGTTTAAGTTTTGATTTCGGCCACACAAAAAAGATATAAAAAACTTCATGCAAAAAAGTGGTTTCTACATGAACTTTTTACTTCTTGTGTAAAGTTCGGCCAAAAAAAAAAGATTTGAAAACCTTTACATAGAAAAGTGGTTTATATGTAAACTTTCCACTTTCTGTGTAAACTTTGTTTTTTAAATCTTTTTTTTTTCGAAAACAATCCTTACGTATAATACATAAGAATTCTACTTAAATTTTGACTATTTAAAAAAAAAGAATCTTAAAGCGACTCTAAATTGAATTGATGTTAATAGATTGGTTATTTTTGTAAATTTCCTTTCTCATGCCACCCTTTGGTACCAAGTTCTTTGCTTCTCATGCCACAATTTGGTACCAACTATATGCTTTTTTTATGATCATCAGTCTTGTACTATCCGACAACCTGCAAAAATTCCCAACCATTCTCTTTCTATCTGGAATACGACACATGCAGCTAACTTGTTACGAAAACCATTAAGTAAAAAAAAATTATATATAGATGAGTAAATGTCGAACACCTCTTCAATTCTACGAAAACACCCGAACATTTTTATCCGATGTGATAATAATTGTAACAGGTTGTCCATATCTTTGATTTTGCCATCACATCACATGTAGTAAAAAGATGTTTTTAACTTTTCGTAAGATGTGAAGGGGTTGCTTGTATTGTATATATGTAAAATCATGAAGTTGTATTTTAGTGAAAATGAAGAAATAAAGGTAATCAACAAACAAACTATAAAACCATATATAAGCCCAACATCAGTTTCTTGGAAAGAAAAAAGCACAAAATTAATGCCTGACAACAAAAAAGTTACACTACTCACCAGTTTCTTGTCGTCCCCAACTTGAGAAAATGCTCTCCCCACTCAATTCAACAAAATCCCATGAACGGCAGTGAAGGGGTAAATTTGGGTTTCCATATCCCCCAACACTGGTCTCTCATGCAACATGCCATTGGTTTTCTTCAAACCAAGGACTCTTTTCACTCACGAAAAATGATATTTACCCTTTTAACCTGCAACCTCCACAATCTCGGCTTCACCGTCGCTGTAATCCCCCCAATGCTTGATCGGTTTCTCATCGTTAGAGGTTTCATTCGTAGCAACGGTTTCTGGCGATTCTGTAACTGCAACTGTATCAGTAGCCGTCTTTTCTTGACTTTCCACAACTGACTCAACTGCTACACCACCTTGGTTCGGGGTTTCAGCACCAATTTCTGGAGTGATTATGGTCGGAGATTCTACCGAGCTTACCGGAGATCCAACCGAATCAACAGGATATCCTGTTTGAAAACCGTTTATGGCGAGAGGATAACCATTGGGAGAGAGAGGATAGCCTTCGGGTGAAACCAGATAACCGTTAGGAACCCAAGGTTGACCGGGAACAAACTCAGCTGCATGTGGGTTCATGATTCTTGGAGGGCTGAGAAGATTTCCATCCACCACAAGGTCACCACCACTGTGAAATATGGGTTTGCTGCGTGGGACTCGGTTTGCGGATCGGTTATATCCACCGGAAAGCCGTGGACCGTATGGAACTCTGGCGGTTGCTGACTGATGTGGAGATCTACGAGCAGGGTTAACTGTGACCATTGTAGGTATGCTTACAGGTGGAGGTAATATTCCTCCGTGATCTTTCAAAGGGATTGGAATGGAGCCTAAAACTGGAGTGTTGGATGGATTAAACGGAGGTGCAGCCGCAGAAAGCTTCTTGGTTATCTCTTTTCCATTTTCTGTTTTGCTTTGATCATCTCCATCATTTGGTGTTTTGTCATCTTTTTCTGGAGCCACTTGTTTCAGGTCATCTTGAACCGAATCATGCAAACTCTCATTGGGCTTGTCGACTTCTAAAGCATCACTTTCTGGATTCTTGGATGAATCAGGATTTACTGTGTCCGCTTGGGCTTTTTTGGCCTCGGATTCCTTGACAACTTCTGTTTCTTCCTTCTTCTCATCTATGGTCGTTTTCTGCTCATCTTCTGACGCCTGAACTATTTCTTTATCAAGTTTTTCGTTCTCGGCTTCTGTTTCTATTTCAACTGGGCTAGGGTCCTTTGGCAATTGTTCAGCCACAGCCTTCACGATGCTACCAGGTGCAGCTATAGCAACTTCTTTGTAAGAAAAGAGTTTCCCAGCTTCTTTAACGCTGATCGAACTTATAACAGGAGAACGTTTGACAACCTGATCATTTGAAGCCGGACTAGATGGTTTATCTGATGCTGAACCTGAACCTTGAGTGGTGCTAGAAGGATTGATCAACTTTGGACTGAAGCCTCCACTCTTAACGAACTTTTTGGTAACACCACCGGCGGAAGTAGCAGATTCACTGGTGTTTGTTCTTGGGGATGTGAAATTAGCTGGCTTTGGTCGATACTTTGATGACTGAGGAACACTTGTGAAATTTGTATTTATTTTTGCAAGATTTGGCCTTCTAGAACTTGAAGACTTACGACCTGCTTTAGAAAAAGCTTCTTGCCATCCTTCATCAGAGTTGTCCGCTTCTACAACATTACTGATTGGTTCCTTTTCGATCTGCTGCTCAGGTTGAACCAAATCTGGTTTTCTATCCACTGAATATGTTCTGCTTTCAGATTTGATCTCTTTATCGCTAGAGTTCTCTGGAACAGAATGTCTTGGTGATAATACTTGCTCATCGGTCACAGATTCTCCATTTTGTCCTTGTTTTACTTTAAGCTGGATGAATGGAAGAAAAATAGAAATAAAAATTTGATACAAGTATCTTTGTTCTGGATAGCGGTGGGAGTGGGACAAGAAAATACAGCAGGGAGAAGGTTACCAGTTTTGCACGAGCTTGTTTTCTTTGGGCCTCTCGTGCTTTCATATCTGCATCTGGGGCTATATAATCTAGCAAATCTGATACACTGATCCATGAAAATAAATGACCATCAGGGTCTTTCTAAATCAATATGAACTACACTCAGTTTAGATCTTTTACAACTAACTCACCATCAAGATCTCTTCTACATAGAAAATACTCGACTATATAATTATGTATATTATCCATTTTTAACAAAAGAAACATAATTAGCATCAATTATCAACATTACACGTATATTATAGATATGTTATTTTCTTGATATTAACTATTTTAATGCAAAAATCCAACAATGGAGCCAAGCATCATGTGCGTATATAACTAGTGAAATTTGTTGGAACAATGGCAACGGAAGAAGCTCATCTTAGAACCATTGCTATCTGAATACTGACAACAGGGCAGGCTTATTTATCTGAATACTAATCTAGTAGTGTATTTTCAGTATATGTAAAAAAACTGGTACTTGAGAAAGAAGTCTGAAAAGGTGAAATAAAAATCTACCTCAAATGGCCTTTACTAGATATCGATGCATCTGGCTTTGGAGTACCATTGCGTGCAGCTTCTTGTTGTTCCAGAGCCTTGGATTCGAAGTATTCAAGCCATGCAGCTGCGTCCTACAATATCTTACATGCTAAGTAAAACAAAGAAGCGAATACAAGCAATGCATGTATCTCCAGATGTGATGTTAATGCATCAAGAAAGAACTTGGCAAGTCACAAAGTACCTGGGTACGAAGATCTTCAGGTCCAAGTTTCGTCTGCAGTATCTGCAGAGTGGTCTGCTCATGCTGAACACTCAACGAGTATGCTTCCATCAAAGAGAGAGCAATTGCTATCGCATGATAGCTAGCAGCAGTCTGACAAAAAGATAAATTTTTGAGTAAATTTTTTGAGATAACATGATGCATCTGGTAAACAACAAAAAAGATGCATCCAAAGAGCTGATTCATTTACTCAATATAGTGACATTAGAGAACATAAATATTTAGATGTATAACAAAATATAAAGAATCAGTAGATTTTGTCTTTGATATAGGTCATATTTGGTAGTGCACGGACGCTCTCATTCACAAGCAATGGTTCCATGTAACATGTGAATCACTGTGCCATGAAAATTGCAACGAGCACTTTCTGGCACATGAGTTCGTTGGCTAATCTAATTGAGGTTATCAAGAACCTTTGGTCAAATGATGTTTTGAACTTTTCCAAGATGGACCAAATTGATTCTAAAATGTGTGCCAGATAGTAAACATTAGAATTTTCATTGGACAGAAATACCAGTATCTAAACAGTTTAATCATGAGATATTTCAATCTTGGGTGTTGTAATTATTAGTCCCTCTGCCCGTACACAATTCTATTTTAGTTTGTCCCAAAATAAGTATCCTCTTTCAAAAGTAAGTTTCTATTTTTCCATTCTACTCTTAATTATGAGATGGAAAAAGTCTCTATTATCAAGAGTAAAAATGTCATTTAGTAATTCAAAAAGTGTAATAATTACATATTTCTAAAACTGAATGCCACTTTCATTATAGACATTTATTTTGTGACTGGGGGAGTGCATGCTAAGGGGTTTCATGGGGGAGAGAAAGAGAGAGAGAGAGAGAGAGAGAGAGAGAGAGAGAGAGATTACTTGTATGTGATCTGCTCCAAGCAGCCTTTGATTACACTTGAGAGCCTCGTGAAGGTATCTAAGAGCAACATGAACATTTCCTAAACCTTCTTCCATCATTGCTACATTGATGTAGGTAGCCGCAGTATTCGGATGAGAAGGTCCACATGTTAAATGCAAAAGATATAGTGCACGGTTCACGTACCTAAAGGACAAATAGATGAACAAAAGCTATCATTTTTATGAAAATGCCAATGGACAATTCATCACACACAATGCAAGGAAAAAAACATACTTAAGAGCTAGCTCCGTGTGTTGGAGACGGTAGTAGAAAACAGCTAGGTCCCCATAACTCTTCATCGTATCTGGATGATCGAGTCCCAGCTCCCTCTCATTGATATCCAAAGCTTTTTGCTGATAGATAGTAGCCTAATAGAGGGTTGAAAGAGAAATTTTGGTTACAGAATGGGGCATTGACAGTTGATGTCAATCTTCATAATTAGATTTGTATAGTACAGAGATCTTTTGCGAAAATTTGAAATACATGTGATAAAAGAAAAAAATGAGACTTGAAAGGAAAGAATAGAAAAACCTCATGGATATGTGAGGTGCCATTTACCAAATGTTTACATGGGTAAGCGCTTACCAAGTCACATTACCTTACCAGATGAATATGATAAGAACCAAAAATTTTACTCAGTAAGAACGAGACAAGGACCAAGAGTCTTACCCGGTAAGTGAGGGGCGACGACTCTTACCATGGTTAGTGCTTACCAGATAAATGGTTGCATACAATGCCGTTTTGGTGGACTAAAATCTTACCCGGTAAGTAAGTGGTGGTGTTGAATTTTACCGTTAAGTGTTTACCAGGTAAGTGTTTGGTAAACAGCCTCAGTCTAATATACACCACCACTGACTCCCAAATTTCAGTAGTTTTGAGGGTTGGGAAGTGCAAAAAACATTCAGGCTTCAAAACATGTAAAACGAGCCACTCTACCATTCAACTTTAGATCTCCACAATGTAACTTCTTTAGAATACTGTCATGTATATAATTGTCTCTTCCAGTCAGAGAGATATGCAGGTTGAATAATCGACTTATTCTTGTCGTAGTTACAAAGCAATAAAAGACTATATGCTCATATACCTGATTAAAATCCCCGGTGTGATAGAGCACGACAGCCAAAAGACTATATGCTCCAGCTGTCATTCGATGATAAGGACCACAGACAGATACAAGTTTTGAGAGTGCCTGAAGAAATTGGGTAGAAGTTTTGGTCCGAATAACTTAAAAATTAAAACTAAAACCGTTACTATCATTTAAAAGCAAGAGATTATGTTGCCTTAGTTCCGTAGTTGACAGCATCCTCCAATTTGCCTTTATCCAATGATGTTTTAGATGACTCTAAAAGTGTGCGTCCATCCGCGGAGGAGCATGCAACATGCTGTATGAAAATAGTTCACATGTCATCAAATCTGCTGTAATTAGTTTATGTTATACATAATTGGGGATAGGATTCGATCACATGCTTGACCTTATATATAGGAACCATGCTAATAATATCTGCCTTCCTGAAAGGAGATGAGGAATCCATATCATAATCCCTGGGAACAAGCTCAAGACCAACCTGATGGTAAAAGCTTTATCAAAATTGATATTTCGGGAAAAAAATCTGGGTAAGAGAGATGATTATTCACTCTCAAATTTGTGTCATACCTTGTGGCAAAGCCCTCGAAGAATGGAAAACTTACGAAGATCAGTACGACATTCGTTTGTCCATTGCCAAGCAAATCTCTTTGATAGGAAGAGCTCAATCCACTTCCATTTTAAGTCATCATCATTGCCAAGTTCTGAAGCTGCATTTCTCGCAACGGGTGTTCCTAGCAATACATTTAAGCATGATGCTATTGATTCAGCTAAATCAGCAATATTGTCAACTGCTGCTACAACTGCTTGCAAGATATGCTTGTAAGCTCGAACAACCATCTCGTGAACACAGAGTGATTGAACATGAGGGAGCTTATCTGCAAGTCCAACCTGAAACAACAGAAAAAACAAGATGGGATGAGTTTTAACTACCTTGCTGTATATAAACCTAAAAACTAACAAATAAGGCAAGCCTTGGAACAATGGATGTTGTCAGTCCTTTATGACCGGAAAGTCAAAGGCTCAAGTCGTGAGAATAACATCTGTGCAAAATGAAAGAGAAACTGCAAGTGAAAACTTCCCACCATAACCCTCTGAAAGCCAAGGAAGCATGGAGAGTTTTCCGCTCTTTAAAACTATCACAGGTATGTGAACGCTGAAAAGCTTCAAAGAGAATTTTAGCCACCATCTGGTTGCCAACATACAAGGGTGTTTTTGAAGATAACACTTTTTATCAATCAATCAAGCTTGTGGAAAAGAAAGATAAGAATCAGTTTCACTCCTGACAAGTAATGATGCCTAGCTAGGCTTCACTTCACTTGTCTCCATGATTTCTTTTGATTGTTCTTTCTAGGTCTGATTCTTGTTGAGCAGAATGACATAAATGTAACAAGACCGAAACAAGTTATAGGACGATGGTTGTAGCAAAATATCAAGATGAATTAGGTATTTCCAAATGAAAAGAAAGAATTACCACTCTCCCCAAGGAACACATTCGCAAACCCCTTGTGTGCATAAAATCAGTCAGTGTTCTACCATCAACAGGAGAAAGTTCAAGGGAGCCAAAATCAGCCACCTAAGAAATAACGAATTGCAACAATCAGTCACACACTTGATGCCAAGAAAAATAATAGACATGACATCCTTCACGATCTTAGCAATGTCAAGCAACTAACCAACTTTGGGAGGGCAGTATCATCATAGTACTTGTGTGCCATTTCAATCAACTGCTCAGGTGACTGCCAACATAAATGAAATTAGACCAAAAACAACAAAGAAATGTAACTTCCTTCAAGCAAGAATGATTATAAGTTTCTGTAAGTTCAGCCTCAATAATGAAAGATGCTCTACAGAAGCACGTTCAGCACTTCCATCAGGTGCTTAATGTGCCACAGATATCAGAACAGGTTTGTGAAATTAGAGCAGCAAGCAAACCTTAAGGTGGAGACCAGTATCTGATTCTTTAAGACGCAAATAAGCTGCTTCAGAAAGCAGCTTCCGCCACATCATTTCCTTTTCTTCGTCCAACTTTGCAGCCTCTCTGTTGCCACTGTCATCTGATTTACTGTTTGTGTCAGGGCCATTGCTAGTGGCAACTTCCTGTTCAACCTTGCTGCTTTTATCATCAGTTTTTTTCTTAATTTCCTTCAGCAATCCCTTTCCCAGACCCTTCACAGCTGGTTCTACCTTAGCTTCTGCTGCGGTCTTAGAGTCAGATTTCCCAGAAGTTTGATTTTGTAAATGTTGCACCCAACATGCTCCAAGCTCCCATCTGATTGATTTTGTGTTTGTAGAATCTTCTTCCTGCATTTTCTGCAAACTTTCCTCCAATACTTTCCTGACCAAGACCTTAGCAGAGTGTGATTCTTCAACATCTGCACCCTGTACCCTTTGTACTGCACCAGATGCTGACGGTGTGGATGTCGTGTGCAATAGTATTCTCAAACTGAAAAACAATAAGTGATACGGAAAGTAATTAGCAAACCTAAAAATTATCGGAGGTAAAAGTGCATCAAGGAAACACCTGTAGCATAGGGCCATAGCATATCAATACATCATTTCATTTATACACGGGAACAAGTTACCAAGTACAAAGAGAACAAAATATATGACTTGAGGCAAGTTGGATTTTGGTTCAACTGACCTATTGACATTCAAAGCATTAGCACCTCCTTCAGGTTGGTCCTCGATGTCAATGTCCTCCAAAATCGGTTTTCCATCCCATTTTACCTCGGTTTCAACTTTCACAACAGCTGTATAACCACAATGTCTAACGACCACTATGCCTAGGGTAGAAGTATCCTGCATGATAGCAGTAGCATTTTTAGAAGAAAAAATGTGCCAAAGAACATTTGTCATAAAACAAATGAAAATGCAGAAGTGCAAGTTGTGTTTAGATAATATGGACTGGTATCATACTGACATGAACGGTTGCGCTCTCGTCTGCTGTTATGCCTTTAAGCAGGTTTCTTTTAGCAAGCTCCTCCGGTGACAATCCAAGGACATGACTCCCATCATTTTTACCATCCAGCTTTGTGCTTGCATCCGGCACATCTCTTGTGATCCTAATAAGAAGATCTCCAACTTTCTCCTCATGTACAATTGAGTTGGTGGAACCATTTGAGGAACAATTGCTACTTTCAGCAAGATTCTTAATGGTAGCCACTGCTTTTAACACTGACACGTCGACAAATATGCAGTGAAGTAGAAAAGCTTTCCTATCTCTAACTTGCCTCTCTTCTGGAGTTTTACAAGGCATTGCTGCTAAAATTGAAAATTCCTTTGCCCACTGCCTATGATCATGTTTACCATCTCTTCCTTGTCCACCACCATTTCCTCCCCAGTTTTCATCTTCTACAGGAAGTGGTGGAAAAAGAGATGGATTGTCAGCAACAACTGGAGGCACGGCCCAAGTGTTTGCGCGAAAACCATAAGGGAGATTTCCAAACTGAGACAAAAATATAGACATTTTTATACCGACTTTCATTCAAAATATGGTGCCAAAGTGCTCGGTAAGATTTAACTTACTTTATTGTGCTCAATGAAAGCTTTCATGAGAGCTTTGTAGGCCTGTGGTTTAAGACATTTGAAGAACATATAAGAATGAATTAAATGAAACATGGAAGAGATGACTGTTGAATTATGAAATCAACAAGAAAGCAAATGTTGGTCAAGAAAGTCTATGATGTAAAGAATTGGTTTGGCTCCCATCTCAAAACCACTAACAAATGGAGTTACTCAAATACTTTCAAACTAATGTGCCAATACACCCTTCTGAGTAGCCCATCTCAATTTCAAGTCCATTATATGCACCCAAAGAAAAAAAAATTATGGTGCAACAAGCTATATGTAAGAGCATGTGCCCCAGCTAGAAACCAAGGCCATGTAAAGGATTTTTTCGGACTTCCATCTCAAAACAATTGGCAAAAGGGCGGGTGGAGTCACCCTTGGATCATATATATAAAAGTAGTCAGTTTTCACTTACACCATCAAAAATCCGACTTATCTGCCGCAACAGACCAACCAAGGAATGACTCAAAAGGATGCGCTTTCCAGCTGGATAGAACCCTTTCCTGGAAGCAACAATCGTCATTGGCTTCCCGCTACAAACTCGTACCTGCAAATGGATGTAGGAATTGATGAACTTTTTTTTGTGGTTCGTGTAAACATCACCAGCTTGAACATGTCTAGAAAACGTTAGTGGTCCACACATTTTTTATAGCAATTAAACAAAGCACAATGAGATGCTCACATCCATTTGAAAGAAATCATCATCTGTTTTATCTTCAAGGAATGGACGAGCAGATCTCCTAATGTCTGCAAAACAAGCATGCAAACAGTTAACTCTTGGCCTTTCACTGAATAAGATCATTAGTTCACCTGTGAGAGAGAAGATAGAAACTTTGAGTTGTGAGTCAAATACTTGCTAATTTCAAATGAAATGTGTAATCCAACAAAAAAAAAATCAATGTTTGACTTAACAAGAAACTTTAAGAAAATCTATGCATATATATCAAATTCCAAAATACCAGTGAAAAAGAGAAGGTAGAAACTTAGTGGCATAAATAAGTTGTGATACGATACACAAGGGTAAACTGTAAATCCACAGAATTTGCATGTTGGGAATGGTTTACGTTCAGGTCTATCAGACTTCCACAGATACCAGTTGGACATTATAGAGGGCTATTCAGCAATTATTGGATAGTTATCGAGTTATTTTGTCAAATCTTCGATCATGCAGGCTCTTAACATTCTTCTGTTTGGTTTTTTAATGGTTGTTTAAGTCGAGTATGTCGAACTAATCTAAAATTGAGTCTAGAAATAACACATGATTTTTCCATTGATTTCTTCAACATTTAAATTTGTTCATGTCTTGTTCTTTATTGATAAGACAGGCAATTTTAGCTTCAAAATGCATTCACTGACATGTCACTCTGGTCGATTGAAACAATCTAAAGAATCAGTATTGAACTTGTCGATCGATAGCGTCAAAACCAAGCCTGTTGAAAATGCCTCCCAATTAACCCAGTTGCTGAAACGGACTTTCAAGTCGCTCAACAAATCACATTGAAGAGAGGAAAAGCTATGGTACATTTACAGAGACATCACTGCGAGTCTGCACCAACTTATACCGTTGTACGCGACTTTATGAAACCGAACCAGATTTTTGTGCGACCTACCAGCTCTCTTACAAGTGGCATTCGATCAATGACAGGTTTCTAGTGCCAATTTTAGGGCTCAAATGCACACAACCCAAATATAGCATACTTTCCCATTGTTCATACACACCGTTTTGAGTGTGACTTTGTGACTAAGTGTGATTACTATGTGCCAGTATTTCATGAGACCCACTGATTTCAAAAGTAGAAGTTGCAAAAAATTTCATAAGGGCAGAGAAAATGTTGAGAAGAAACTGAATAATTTACTTAAAAAAACGTTGATATTTAAACATGAATATATAAAAGGACATACATTGGATGGGAGGTGTGAGGTGAGAGAACGAGAAGAAGTCGTAGAACTGCCCGAGCCTCGGCGGCGGGTAAATATCCGTTGTCGTGTCACCCTTCTCAGACTGATCGGAACTGATAGAAACTTCCGTCTTCGGCGATTTGGCCCCACCAATCGAATTCTTATCCTGACCGGTCTCTCCATCACTCGAATCTGGTCTGTTAGGTGCTGATCGACTGTTTGGGGAGGCCGCGTTCTTGGGAGTAGTAGACGAACCACCGAAAGCGGTGGTGCAAGCGACGATATCCAGCAGCCGTCTGACGTGTGCGATGGCGAGATCTTCGGTGTACTCCTCTGCAAAGTAATTTTGGCGGTACTTTTCATTTTAGCCCCTTGAGTTCATAAAAGTTGCCAATTTACCCCAAAAGTATAATATGAGTTTAGAAGTAGACCTTCGACGACCATCACGTGACATGGTTTGAGAGAGGCGATTTCGACGGTATCTTTCAACCTCGGTCCACGCACCTGTCAGAGTACAAAAGACACACGCATTCACCTGTTAGTTCGTTTTGGTCGTTATCATTCTCATTTTATGTTCACATGTATCAACCGCGAAGGCTCATTGCATCCTAACACCTTGCTAAATTCACCCCTCCATTCTATATAAGTATTCATTTTTTGTTTTTCTTTATTTTTATCATTTTATTTAATTATAAATAGATTATTATTAAAAACACAATTTTTTTATTCTGTAAAATAGATTAATACTAAAAATGTTATTTTTTATAGTACTTACTATAAGAAATATTACAGGTTTTCCTCGTCCTATTTAATATTTTTTTCTTTATTTCCTGATGATTATTTTTAAGAAAAATTATATATTTTTCCTTCTCCTTTTTAATCATGTTCCTTAAAAACGTATTTTTTTTAAAATAACTATTTATTAAAAAAAAATAACCTAACCTTTTTTCTATATCACCAAACTACATATGAAATTCAGTAAAATGATACTATTATTAGATTATTAAGTGTTATAAAGAAATTTATTCATCAATTATCTAGGTAGATTAAAAGCACGGGAAATAGCGACTTGAAGATAAATTTTCCTTCTATTTAATCGGTGAGGCAAGCAAACTGTGACATGTAGCTTTTTTGAATAATTAATATAATTAACTAGTTTCTAAAAGTTTGATAGTTTATTTATCAAAAGAATATGCAATGACTTAATCATTCAAAGTAAAAAAAATTAATAGTTTATTTATTTTAGAAAAACTTCAGAAACTTAATAATAATTCAAAATGAAACAGTTCGTTGGATTTTTTTGAACTTTTTCCTTATTAAATTCAGTATATAAATAATTTTGGTAAATATATTATTCATTATTAAATAATTAAGTGTTTATAAAATTTGACTTTTTGAATCATACCATTTTAAAATTATTAAAATGACTACGACAAAATTTAAACACTAATACATACAT